GTGCGCCCGAAGAGGACCCCCGAGACAGCCCCGAAAAACAAAAAAACATTGATTTTCCTTGGGTTGTTTTCACTGTTTTCGGCAGTTTCCCTTTTTCGAGCTTCCGACGCTCCAAGACGGCCCACGACGTCTCCCAGGCTCTCGTGGCCCCTTCCCGGGACGCTTCTTCGGCTGCCTCTGGGTCTCCGAATCCGCCCAAGAGTGCCCCCAAGAACGTTCCGAGACGCTTACGGTAGCCCCAAGACGGGCCAAGAGACTCCCCAGAGGCACCGAGTGCGCCCGACGGGAAATCCATAGACAGCTCCGACAAGCCACAATCAGTGACTTTTAGTTTTTCAAGGTTTTCGCCAGTCTGCCCTGGCCGAGCTTCCCACGCTCCAAGACGGCCCACAACGTCTCCCAGGCCGCCCCAAGGGTCTCCCAGGCAGCACCACGATGGTCCAGGAGGCCCCCAAGAGAGCCCCAAGACGGCCCACAAGCCACTGGTGGTTGTGGTGGTGGTGGTGGTGGTGGTGGTGGTGGTGGTGGTGGTGGTGGTGGTGGTGGTGGTGGTGGTGGTGGTCCATTAGTCTTCCTTCCCGTCGCTGTGCCCTCCGTCTTCATCTTCCGCTCCAAGTGTGTCACGCCGAAGCCATCAGAGCCACGCGAGGTTCTGTTGCTTTGCGACCTCCGAGATCGCACCACGACGGCCCAAGAGGGTCCGGTCCTTCCACCGCCAGAGAGGGCCCCAAGACTGCCCCAGAGAGCCCGGGCACGGGCCGAGAAGGCGCCAAGGGGCCCCCAAGAGAAGCCCAAGAAGGCCCCGAGAGGCACCCAAGAGAGCCCCCAGACGGCCAAAGCCCGGAAAGGCAGCACTGCAGGGCCCTCAGCCTTCAACCTCCGCAACCATCTAGGAATCTTCGAGAGAGCCCAAAGAGGCCCCAAGACGCGCCCGAGGGGCCTTTTTTTTCGCCGCGGCCCCGCAGAGAACCGCTGGGGCGCGGTCCGGATGCGGCCCGAATTATGGCACCTAACCCCCCCGAGGGGCCATAAGAGGCCCCAGAAGCCCCCGAAGACGCTTACAAGAGCCTCCCAGGAGCGGACACGAGAGCCGAGAAACGAAGCTCTTTGGCCCAATGGCCCGGAGGAGAACCCAAGAGGCTTCTGAAACGCCCCTGAGAGAGACCCGAGGGCTTCCGAGAAGCCCGACAACCGCCCGGAGTCGTCCAACAAAAAACTTGCAGGTGCCCCATGACGTCCCTGCCCCACAGGTCTCAAACCTACCTGCCGTAGCCGTTCTGGATTAAGGCCGCGCCCCGCGGTCTCGGGCGGCCTGCCCTCAAGGGTCGCCCAGGGGCCTCGCTTCCTGGCACCGCGCGCCGAATGGCTCCCCGGACCCCCCCGCGGACGCAGTTGGATTATCTCTGAACCCCTTTGTCTGGTTCCCCTCCCCTCCCCCCCCACACAAAAATACAATACAGACTTCCATTTTCCAAAACAGCGTTGAACTCCCGTCCCGTCCTTCGACGGAAGATGCCCCAGACGTCATTCCGCGCCCACGAACCACTCTCAAAGGCCTGGGGTTCCAACCGATACACCACGTTGGAGCCGCAACTACACAAACCCGCAAACCCAACGAAATGACAAACACGACGACGACGACGACGACGACGACGACGACCGCCGTTCGGCACCCGACGGACACGGCGGCGACGATGACGACATCGACGGTAATAACGGACGACACCCGCGCATCATCCAACAACAAGCAATTGCCCCCTTGCAAAGATCAGAATGTTGCTCACGCCGCCTGCCTTCCACCAGCCGAACACCCCTGCTCCGCTCAATTGTTGACGCTTCGCGTATCCCCACCAGCCCATCCAGGAACGATGCCCATGCGATTTGCCTTGCTCAAAAGAGCGGCGGAGCATACAGTGGACCAAGAGCTGGGGAAGCCGTCAAACCGAAGTTTTGGATTAGTTTCGCGGCCCTGTCGAATGAGGAAGGCCAGGAAAAAAAAACGGTGTGCATGATGGGGGAGGAGGACAGGAAGAGAGGGAGGACGTGGAGGACAAGGAGGAGGACGAGGACGAGGACGAGGAGGAGGACGAGGACGAGGACGAGGACGAGGACGAGGACGAGGACGACGAGGAGGAGTATCAGGAGGAGGAAAAGGAGGAGGAGGAGGAGGAGGAGGAGGAAGAGAGGAGGAGGAGGAGAAGGAGGAGGAGGAGGAAGAGGAGGAGGAGCAGATATGATGAGGAGGAAGGAGGGGAGGAAAAAGCAGGGGAGGACGACTAGGAAGGACGAGTAGAGGACGAGGAGGAGGGACGCGAGAAGGAAGAGGAGGAGGAGGAGGAGGAGGAGGAGGAGGAGGAGGAGGAGGAGGAGGAGGAGGAGGAGGAGTAGGAGAAGGAGGACGAGGAGGAGGAGGAGGAGGAAGAGGAGGAGGAGGGGGGAGGAAGAGGGAGGAGGAGGGAGGAGGAGGGGGAGGACGAGGAGGACGAGCAGGACGAGGAGGAAGACGAGGAGGAAGACGAGGAGGACGAGGAGGACGAGGAGGATGAGGAGGACGAGGAGGAGGAGGAGGAAAAGGACGACGAGGAGGAGGACAAGGACGAGGAGGAGAAGGGCGATGGATGTCTCTTCGGATGTTTCTTGGAAGCCTTGTCGGAAGCTTCTTTCAATATATTGGGGGCCTCTTGACGGCCCAGGGGCCTCTTGGAGCGTCGTGGGTGCCCCGGGGAGCCTCTTGAAGCTTCTTGGGGGGCCTCTTGGGAGTCTCTGGGGAGCCTCTTGGAAGCCTCTTGGGGCCGTCTGGGCGCCTCTTGGGGTCTTGGGGCGCTCTTGTGAGCCTTCGGAGCGCTCTTGGCGCCTTCTTGGAGGAGATCGATTAAATAAAGGGGGTTAGGGTACCCCCTCGGGAGCATCGAACATCGCCTCTTGGGCCCCTCTTGGAGCGCTCTTGGGCGCTCTTGGGGCCGTCTTGGCGCTCTCTTGGGTCCCTCTTGGGGCCATCTTGGAGCCATCTTGAGGCCTCGGATGGCCATCGGAAGCGAAAAGGCGAGAAGGCAAAACATCAGTGGTTTCCCTCATGTGTTTCAATGGTTTTGGCCTCTTGGAGGCTTCCTTGGGAAGCTGTTTGGCTTCTTGGAGCCGTCTTGCGGCGGTCTTGGGGCCTCTTGGACCATCTTCGGAGTCATCTTGAGGCATCTTAAGCTATCTTGATCCATCTTGGAGCTCATCTGGGGCTCTCCGGGGCGCTCATGGAGCCATCTTGGGCCATCTTGGACGCTCTGACCGCTCGCGAACCCCCCCGTCCAGGTCCATGGGGAGAGGGTAGGGGGAGGGGTAAGCCCCTCCCCGAAGTGGACGAAGGAGGTTGGAAGAAGAAGCTCTCTAAGCCACCTACGCCCAGAGGGCTGGTAGGATTATCCCAGCGGACCGGCTAGAACTTGAGCGCGCGCGAAGCGCGCGCGATGGTTCTAGTATACATATGTACATATATATATATATATATATACGAACACATCTAATACAGAGGAGCATCAATGATTATGGCCTCTTGGGGACCTCTTAGGATACCTTTTCGAGGCCCTTGGGACGTCTTGGAGGCCTCTTAGGCCGTCTGTTGGCCATCTTGAGCGTCTTGGAGCGATCGCTCCGCGACTCGGGGCCCTCTTGGGCCGTTTTGGCGGGGCTCGTGGGGCTTTTTTGACCTGTCTTGGGGCCCTTGTGGGCCGGAAAATTCCACGCGCCACCACGCGGGGGAGCCCAGAGGGCACGCGACAAGCCCCTATGACATTTGGTTTTTGGCGTCAGGGTCCTTGAGTGACTCCTCAGGACTGGGGACTGAGGCTGAGAGGGTTGGGCAAAGAACCTGAGGACATGCCCACTCCGCGCCCAGGGCCACGCTGGCGGATCACTTGAGGCATATCGTCTGTGTGCCTCAGATATAGTATAGCACAAGTGCCATCTGAGCCATGCAGCCTGTGTGCCTCAAGTGGTACCATTCATGTGCCACTTGAGGCATATCGTGTGTATGCCTGAAGTTGTACCGACCAAGTTTTGCTGGAGGCATGTCGTCTGTATGCCTCTTATGGTACATGCGTAGTACCACTTGCGGCATGGTGTCTGTATGCCTCACGTGGTGCCAGTCATGCACCGCTTGAGGCATGTCGTCTGTGTACCTCAAGTGGTATTGGACGACTACCACGTGAGCCATGTAGTCTGCGTGCTGCAAGTTGTACCAGTCATGCACCTCTTGAGGCACATCGTCTGTATACGTCAAGTGGTGCCGACCAAGTACCGCTGGATGCATGTCGTCTGTATGCCTCTGGTAATACAGGACACGTGCTGCTTGAGGCATGTCGTCTGTATGACTTAAGCGGTACCGATCATGTACCACTTGAGGCACGTCGTCCAGTTGTAAGTCAGATGCCTTTTGTTTGTTCGCTTGCTGCTCGGCCTTTACGGTGCCTTTTGGAGGTACTTTGCAAGCCTCCTTGGGTCTCTTTGGGGCCTCTTGGAGGCGTCTTGGGGCTTCATGGGGTCCTCTTTGGGGCCTCTTGTGGACTCTTGGGGCCTTCAGGGCCTGGGGCCCTCTCGAAGCGGACGGCTCGAATTTTTGGTTCGTTCCCCCTTTTTTGGGACCCTCTTCAGGCCGTCTTGGGCCCCGAGTCGGCTGCTTATGGAGGCACTTGGGCAGTTTGGGAGTCTTCTTGGGTCGTCTTGGGGGCGTCTTTGGGCAAGCTTGGAGGTCTCGTGGGTCGTTGCGGAGCGTCGGGAAACAGAAACGGCGAGAATATTTCAAAAAACCTAAGAACAATCAATGATTCTGCTTCTAGGGGCCTTTGGGAGACCTCTTCGAGGCCTGGTGGGGCGTCTTGGGTGCATGTAGTCCTGCTCGTAGGCATCACACGAGTCTGCAAGGAGCAGGCCTTCTGCTGTGTTTCTACGCCGCAGCCGCCGTTACAGTCCCCCCCCTTCCCATTCGGCCTCGACTCTGCTGCGCTCCACATAGGCACTTAGGCCCAAGCGACTGCGGCTCACTGCAAGCGCTCGGACGATGCCGGGCGCCCGCGGGTGGCGTCGCGCGCGCCCCAGCCCTGACGAAGTTCATCGCCACTGGCGGGCGCTGAGCCCGGAGTTGCGGCGGGCGTGCTTGCGATTCGGGGACAGTGTGAGAAAAGCAGAGTTACCCATACCGATGCCATTCCCGTGTTCTCCCCCTTCTGGGGCCTCCTGCGGGACCTGGTCGCACGGGCTGGAATCGCTTCGGAGTCTATGCCAAAAAGCATCTCAAGAGAGATCCAAGACGAGCGGTATTTGTATCTTGTGCCCTCCGCAGGACCCGGCCTTGGTGGAGAGGGTGAAGGTGAACCTGGCCGTGCTCTACGAGAGGCAGACCACGCTGCAGGCGCTCGGTCTCGCGCCAGCCGACGAGGACCCTCTGGAGGCATCTGTTCTGTTGAAGCAGGGCTTCGAGCTCTCCTACGGGATGCGCTACGCCAAGCAGCGCGTATCGGACCGAGTCGACAACGACGTTATGCTAGTGGACCGCGACGTCAGTGCCGTCCTGACTGTGAAGGCCGACTTTGTACGCAGGGACGACTTCCTGGATCGGATCTCCTCGGTGCTGCCCGATTTCCTGTCACAGAAGTGCTCCCGACAGCTTCTTCCCCGAGCAAGGTGGAAGGGCCTTTTGGCAGCCGAACCGGCCAACGTCGGGGAGCTAGAGCAGCAGCTGGCCAGGCTCGTCGAGCAGGCTCTGTGGTCCATGGTCTCGGACCCGGCGCTTCAGGCGGAGCAGTCACAGGCGCCCGTGGGCCCCCCCGCTGAAGAGCTGGAACTGGAGGGTTGGATGCAGGAGCACGACGCCAAGGTAAAGAAGAAGGCCGACAAGCGCAAAGCGCGCAGGACGAAGGCTGGGCCATATAGAACCTGGAGGCTAGGCCTACCCTAGGCCCCCTAGGCCTACCTTAGGCCTACCCCTGTAGGTCTTTGCCTAGGCTTACCCCCTAGGCCTACCCCAAGGCCTACCCCCTAGGCCTACCCTAGGTCTACCCCTAGGCCTACCCCCTAGGCCGACCCTAGGCTTACCCCTGGGGCTACCCCTGGGCCTACCCTAGGCCTACCCCTAGGCCTACCATAGGTCTACCCCTAGGCCTACCCCCTAGGCCTGCCCTAGGCCTACCCCTAGACCCTACCCCCTAGGCCTACCCTAGGCCTACCTCTAGGCTCACCCCCTAGGCTTACCCCTAGGCCAACCCCCTAGGCCTGCTCTAGGCCTACCCCTAGGCTTATCCTAGGCCTACCCCTAGGCCCTGGGTCTACCCCTTGGTTTATCCCCAGGCGTACCCTAGGCATACCCCTGGGCCCTACCCCCTAGGCCTACCGTAGCCCTACCCCTAGGCCTACCCCCAAGGCCTACCCTAGGCCTGCCCCCTAGGCCTACCCTTGGTTTACCCCTGTGCCTAGGTGTAGGCCTACCCCTAGGCCTACTCCTAGGCCGACCCCCTAGGGGTTCTCTAGGCCTACCCCTAGGCCTACCATAGGCCTACCCTAGGGTCTTGGGTATGCCCTACCCTAGGCTACCCTAGGGCCTTGAGCAGAGCTAACCTTGGCTACCCTAAGACCTTCTACGGGAGGAGGTTGAGGAGGAGATGGACGAGGTCGAAGTGGGGGGGAAAGGACGGACGCATATGAAAGAACACGCAGAGTTCGGTGACGGGACGAAGCAGAGAGACAGCGAAGGCGACAGGCACAACGCTCGTTCCGGAGAACTGCCCGGGGCGGGGAGCTTGCGACCCAGGGACTCAAACGACCCCTTCCCGGTAAACACCTGGCCGAGTGTGGGCGAGCCGCAAAAACCAAGGAACCGAGGACAATTCATCTTCGGCAGCGGATTGTGTGAGTTCTCCCGCACCGAACCCCACCTGGGAGACCCTCAAAAAGGCCCCCGATTGAGCCAGAAAACGAAGGCGATCCGGCTGCAACTTTGTCCAAACGTCACACCGACGTGCCCGTTAGGGTTCTCGCGTGTCCCCTTGCACATGCATCATACTTTAATGTCCCGCCGACCCGACCCGACCCGCTCGTCAGGGTCCGACCGACCCGCCCGTCAGGGTCCGCCCGTCCTGGCCCGTTCCGACCCGTTAGGGTTCTCGCGTGTCTATTCGCACATGCAACATATTTTAATGTCCCGCCGACCCGACCCGACCCGCCCGTTAGGGCCCGACCCGACCCGACCCGACCCACCCGTCAGGGTCCGACCCAACCCGTCTGGTCCCGTCCCGTCCCGACCCGTTAGGGTTCTCGCGTGTCCATTTGCACATGCATCATACTTTAATGTCCCGCCGACCCGACCCGTCCCGCCCGTTAGGGTCCGACCCGACCCGACCCGCCCGTTAGGGTCCGCCCGACCCGACCCGTCCCAGCCCGTCCCGACCCGTTAGGGTTTTCGCGTGTTTACTCGCACATGCAACATGCTTTAATGTCCCGCCGGCCCGACCCGCCCGTTAGGGTCCGACCCGACCCGACCCGACCCGACCCGGCCCGCCCGTTAGGGTCCGCCCGACCCGACCCGTCCCGACCCGTTAGGGTTCTCGCGTGTCCACTCGCGCATGCATTATACTTGAATGTACCGCCGACCCGACCCGACCCGCCCGTTAGGGTCCTACCCGTCCCGACCCGACTCGCCTTTTCGGGTCCGCCCGACCCGAACGGTCCCGACCCGTCCCGACCCGTTAGGGTTCTCGCGTGTCTGCTTGCACACGCATCATATTTTAATGCCCCGCCGACCCGACCCGACCCGCCCGTTAGGGTCCGACCCGACCCGACCCGACCCGCCCGATAGGGTCCGTCCCGACCCGACCGAACCCGCCCGTTAGAGACCGCCCGACCCGACCGGTCCCGTCCCGTCCCGACCCGTTAGGGTTTTCGCGTGTCCATTCGCACATGCATCATGCTTTCATGTCCCGGCGACCCGACCCGACCTGCCCGTTAGGGTCCGACCCGACCCGACCCGACCCACCCGTCAGGGTCCGACCCGACCCGTCTGGTTCCGTCCCGTCCCGGCCCGTTAGGGTTCTCGCGTGTCTACTTGCACACGCATCATATTTTAATGCCCCGCAGACTCGACCTGACCCGCCCGTTAGGGTCCGTCCCGACCCGACCTGACCCGCCCGTTGGGGACCGCCCGACCCGACCGGTCCCGGCCCGTCCCGACCCGTTAGGGTTCCCGCGTGTCCATTCGCACATGCAACATACGTTAATGACCCGCCGACCCGACCCGACCCGCCCGTTAGGGTCCGTCCCGACCCGACCCGGCCCGCCCGTTAGGGTCCGCCCGACCCGACCCGTCTGGTTCCGACCCGACCCGTTAGGGTTCTCGCGTGTCTATTTTCACATTGTGACTGATCTCCAGATTTTGCGTTTTAGGTTTAGCATTTGAGATCATTACCTTGATCGTCCTACCGAGTTGCAGTGTGTGCTTGGTGTACTGTTACCCTCTCTGGCTCAAGCCCAAAAACGTTCATCCAATCCTGTGCTGCCACAGTTGGTAGCGGAGCGCGGAGTCGCTCGGGGTGCCATGGGCGCGAGCCAGGTCCGCGCCCGAGGGGCGTGACCGGCCGGCGTTCGCGTGCTCCCGAGCGGTCGCTGCGCTCGGCCGACTGCGACGCGTGGAGATCCACGGTGGACGCCATGACGGGCGTCGAGGATGAAGATGCAGAGAAGGGGGCCAACCTACACGTGAGTGCGGGGACGGACGAGGCTGCCGTCACTAGGGGCGAGCTCAGAGGACTCATCGGGGACATCGTCAGGGCGGCGATGCAGGAGCAGTCCAGGAGCTCGAGTGCTGCAGCAGCGTCCAGCTCCGCGGCCGCTGGCAAGCCGGATGAGAAGAGCAAGCCCGACGAGAAGGGCGAAGATCCGTGGCAGAGCTCGGATCCGTGGACAGCCAGTGGCAGAGAGAGTTGGCAGAGTCGGTGGTGGCAGGCCGACTCAGGGACCGGCTGGGAGGATCGGCAGCCCGATCTGAAGGACAGCTGGCAGAAGGACTCAGGCTGGTCTCACAACACCGCCTGGACCCGCGGGACCGGGTCCCAACCCGAGCTGGCCGCCTGGTCTGGCAGCTGGGCAGGAGGAGGCGGCGCCTGGTCCAAAGGAGACTACTCAGACCCACCGGCGTGGCCGGGATGGGCGCACTTCAGAGCATGGAAGAAGTCGCTCAGACGTTGGAATGCGAACACCGACGTACCCGTCTGGCGTCGCTCCGAGAAGTTCCTTCGTCTGTTCGACTGGGCCTTCCAGGCCAAGTTCGAGGACATCCAGGAGCATCGTCTGACCGACGACGGGTGGATCGACACCGTGCTCGGCCGCATGGACACCATGGCGGGCGAGCGTGAAGGAGATGACCTTCGCCGCGCGGGTCGTCGAGCCTTCTTCGAGGCCAACCGCGAGGCGAAGGAGTCGCTGATCCAGTTCGTCATCCGCCGCGATGCTCAACTACAAGAGGCGGAAGGACACGATCTATGGATGTCGCCCAAGCTGAAGGGCCTGCTCTTGGAGGAAGGCGCTTGCCTGTCCGCCCAGGGCCTCCAGAACTTGAGGACGCTCACCCTTGGAAAGCTGGACTACGAGAACGTCTCGTGGGCGCTCAAGCAGATGGACTCCGGCGGCACCGAGCGCCTGCTTCCAGGGCGCGGCGCCGGGGCGATGCTGGCCGACACGACGGCTTCTGAGGGCCTAGGCGCTAGCGAGATGTCGCCTGGTGTTCAGTCCCCCCTCCTCTCTCCTCCTCCCCCGTGGTCGCAGGTTCGGTCAGAGGGTACCGGCGACTTCCCGGCAGAGGACGAGGAGACCTTCTACGATGATGACGATGAGGAAGAGGCCTCGGACGAGGAAGACATCGAGGCTCTGCTGGCCGAGCTCGACGATCTCGACGTGTCCGAAGATCAGGTGGACGAGGTGCTAGCGACGCTCGAGGCCCAAGAACACCAGGACATGGAAGCAGAACAAGGAGCTGAAGCGTGCTGCTCGTCAGGACAGGGAGTACTTTCGGCCCGACTCCCGGGCGCCCAGGCCTCCTCGGGCACATCCAGCAGGTCGTCCAGGACGCGGCGGAGGCCGTGGGGACGGTGCTGGCGGCCGAGGCGGACGCGGTCGAGGTGGTCGTGGGTTCGATCGGCGGCGCCTCACGAGGGAGCAGCTGATCAAGGTGACCCGCTGCGGCATCTGCAAGCAGAAGGGTCACTGGCACCGGGAGTGCCCGGAGAAGGATGGACCCAAGGATCGCCGAGCTGTGAAGGATCACGGCCGAGGAGCATCCGCGTACATGTTCTCGGGCATCGTCGGCGAGGTCGGCGGCTCCGAGTTCGTGGCGACGGTAGAGACGGGCGCGGGCAGCCTCCCAGCCTGGGGGCAGGCGCAGCTGGAGATCGAGTCGAGCGCGGTTCTCCTCACCACGTCCGCCACCCAGGGGCTCGTCGACCCAGGTGCCGGCAGCGACCTCGTGGGAGTCGGAGCACTCAACCGAGAGTCTCGAGCCCTGGCGGAGCTTGGATTGAGGTACGTCGAGATACCTCAGGGCGACCGCCCGCTCAAGGCGGCACACGGCGTCGGTGGAGCCGCGCGCGTGATCAATGTTATTATCTTCCCGTTGTGCTTAGGCCAGACGTTCGGCATCGTAGAGACTACAGTGCTGGCGGACAACGTTCCGCACATTCTCAGCGTGAATCTTCCTTCTGGAGTTTCTCGAGGCTGTCATTGATCTGCCCAGGAACAGCATGCAACTTGGGCGCCTCGGTCAGAAGGTGCCCCTTTGCCGTCTCAGCTCAGGTCATCGCCTCGTGGAGATCGTGGGGCCTCTCGACCAAGAGGCAGTGGCGCCAGCAGCCGCGATCAAGAGGTATCCCTTTTTGCGTGCTGACTCGTTTCAGACTGCTGCAGGACAGTTCCCAGAGATGTCGGACGCTGGTGTGGTGACTGGCTACATCCCTATCCTCATCACCATCGTCTTGCTGCTCATGCTGCT